TATATATACATAGATATGTGCATATGTGCATATGCACATATGCACATATATGTGCACACAGTTATCAGGACCCATAACCCCTAAATACTTTAGCTTGCATTGTCCAAGAGTAAAGACATTTTCCAATATCATACCTAAGACAATTTAATAATGTCATCTAACATTCATTCACATTTAGTTTCCCCTCATTACCCCCTCCAATGTCTTTTCTAGTTTTTTAAAAATCCAGAATCCAGTCAATCGGGATGACACTATAAGACCTTGTGAAACTCCTTATCCTCAACATTCCACCTGTTAGTTGTGCTGCCCAATGATGATTCTTTCTTGAGTGAATTATTATGTATTCTGATGTCATCAACTTTTCTACATTCGTTAGCTGGCATTCATTCTTCTAGCTTTCCCATCCACCACCCTTTTCTCTAAGTATCACTATGGACTCATGAATTTGTTATATTCAATGTGTTATACTCCATAACGTATCTTAAAGTACCCCAAATTTGGCCGATGGAAGCCCCTTCAAAGCAATTCCTGTTTTCTTTCCATGGTTTCTGGCACAAGATGTCTTTGAGCTCACCATGTACTTTTCCTGCCCTAGACCTAGAATTAGCGACTTCTTCAATTACTTGTACTATGAATAGGTCCCAATTCCACATGGTTCAATTCTCCAAATGTTCAAAAGGTATACATTCACCCTCTAACCCCTAGACAGCCAATGTTATCAGTTTTTTGTTATCCTCCTAGAGAGTTTATATGATAAACACAAATATATATTCTTACCCGCCACAAAGTTTGTCTGCACTTGAAGCTCTTGTCTGTCATTAGACTCTGAAAGATACCCATGACCCCATCCCCAAAAGATTAGGAAGCTTTAGGCGAAGTCCCAAATGTTTCAGATGAGAAACTCTCAGGGACTTGACCAAAGGTGCATTAACTAACCACACTCACGTGCTGATCTCCGGACTTGGAACGTTCCTCCCCCTCACCCCAGGCTTGTTGACACCTACTGATCTTTCAGACATCATTTCCTTGGGGAAGCCTTTCCCTTCCTTAATGCCCTCCTACTAAGTGATGTCCCCTTGTTATAAAGCTTCAGATCACTATTTACTCCTTTCCTAGCACATACACGTCACCGTGTTAAATCTGTTTCCTGCCTTCGTGAGGACAAGGACTACATCTGTTTTGTTTCCTGCTGGCACAGGGCAGTTGCTCAATAAAAATGTACGAAGTGAAACTCGAACCCAGGCCGTCAGGCTCCCAGTTCACTTCTTCCTCCTGCGGCCCCGCTGCCGTTGGAATAATAGTTCCAGTCTGTAAAATTGAAAACCTCAATAGAAAAAGCGGGCAAGTCTTTCCACTTCCATGACTAAGGAGGACCTTAGCAGAAACCGCTCACCGCGAGGTGTGACGACCGCAGGAGGGCGTCAATCAAGAAAATGCCCCCTTGCCCCGGAGGCGAGGAGCCGCACAGAGCCAAGGCCATACGGGCCATTGCCACGTCTTCAATAGAAAACATGTGCAAAACGGGGACTTGGGCTGCATGCAGCTGCGACCACCAGGGCCCGGAGAGAGGGGACATGGAAGGAGATTGCACGGCGCCGTAAGGCTCGGGCATCCCCTTGATTCCCGCCCGATCGGCTTGTGCCAGCATCCCCAGGGAAGTGGCCGAGTGCGGGGGCCCGCAAACGAAACGGGCTGGAACGGCCAAGAGTCTGGGGCACCTGAAGTCTAGTCGTCCGTACCCCGCTGGGACGCAGCTAAAGGCCGTGCATCTTTCTCCTTGGAACAGCCCGAGGAACCCAGGGTACTGTCCCACTAGGAGCTCGGGAGGCGCCCCAGCAGGAGCCAGTGCCACCGTTACTCCGGGGAGCCCACCGACCAGGGGGAGTCTCTCAGGCCTGCGAGTCCCGCTGCCCCTCGCCCGGGGCCGGCTGCCGCCACCCTGGGTCGAGGCCTGGGCAGTGCTTCCGAGTTTCAGCAGAGGTGCCTCCGGGCTGGGGCTAGGGCCGCTTGAGTCCGCGCTCCAGACGGTTGCTTTCCTTGCGCCTTCCCCGACGGACACGGCCCCGGGCTTCCCTCGAGGGCGTCCCCGACGAGGGGGACGGTGGGGGTCTGGATCCCCGAGTGGCGAGGGCGGCGGCGGCCGGGCACCCGGGCGCAGGGTCCC